ACTCCTACAGCACATGTATTATAAATAAAACCGGTGCATCTCAAACATCAGTTTTTGCCGTAAGAGCTATCCAAGAAGCAAAAGCATTAAAGTTAGTGAGAATATTATCTCTAGTGGAATGATACCTATTACTATTTATTCCTTTAGATGCTGATTTTACTTATTCTTTCAGTTGCCACATGCTGTTCTGCTGAAGTCTACTATGTCACTACAGATGGAGAAGAGTGCTTCAATTGTCATCCCCTCTCGTATTATACTAACATGTCCCAATGGCCACGTAATGTCACACTCATTTTCAGGAAAGGAGAGCACACCTTGAGGGATCAACCCCTCACAATGGTTGGACTGGAGTCTGTCATATTGAAGCAATCGTCAAGTGATGCTTTTATCAATTGTGGGAAAATGAATGAGCCGAATGCAATAAAAATAGCTAATATTAGTGGCACAGTTTATGTTGAAGGATTAAAAATAGAATGCCAATACGATGTCCTTCTTCAAAATGTAAAAAGTAACACAGTTATTTCTAATGTGCAAGGTCGGGGACTAAGCATTCAAGGATATCAATTTTTAACAGAGGTTTCGATTCTCCAGTCTACTTTCTTTATAACAGAGAATGCATCTAGCTTATTTGCAAATGCTGTAGCCATTATCAATGCAAGCAGAGTGACAATACAAGATACAGCAATATCAAACAAGTATGGAACTGGACTAGCATTGCACCGCAATCGAGGAAAAATATTTCTCAGAAATGTCACGATATCAAACAATGGGAAACAAGGCTTATACTTGGGATGGACTGAGTACAATATAACACTCAGAAACGTCAAATCGGCTCACAACAATGGAACTGGTTTGGTCCTAATAAATAATGGTGACAACATAAATCTCAATGATGTAACGTCTGCAAACAATACTAATGGACTCGTGATAGTTTCCAATGGTAACAACATTGCACTTAATAATATTAGGGTTGATAATAGCAAGAAATTTGGCTTTTACATGATGTCAAATCGAGACAATTTGTCACTAACCAATGTTAAGGTCAATAATACCAAAAGCTTGGCATTTTATATTGGTGGTAATGGCAATAAAACAACTCTTACCAACATTACTGTTACAAATACAGTATTTAGTGAAGGAATGCGCATTGAAGATAACGGGAATGAAATAACATTAGTCAACATTGTTGCAGACAATAACAGTGCTTCTGGATTAAGGCTAAACAATAATGGTTTTCAAATTAGCCTCGATAATGTTATATGCAGTAATACACAAGGTATTGGGTTAATACTAGACAGCAATGAGGACTCAATCAGGCTCAATAACATCACTCTTACTAAAAACATGTATAAAAGTTTATATCTGAGTCAAAACGGTCACAACATATCAGTCAACAATGTTGTAATAAAAGGTACAACAGTTAAAGGGAATGGGATTGAACTTTCGTATAATGGGAATAAGGTAGCACTAACCAATGTCACTGTAGATAACTGTACTGGGATTGGTCTGATGGTGTTGGCAAATGGAAATAGTCTCATTCTGAGTAATGTCACCGTGACTAACACTAGTTATGGGACTGGAATGTACTTGGATTCTAATGGAAAAAATACCATGCTTCATAACATAACAATAACCAGTAGTCGCTTGAATGGGATTTTTGTTGAAAGAAGTGACACTGGCTTAACCTTAGAAAAAATTAAAGTAACTAATAATGGTGTTCAAAATTTGGTGGTATCAGGAAATAACAATAATATAGCAATAAATGAAGTGATAGCTAGAGGGAGCAAAACAGCATTCTTTGTATCTGGTAATGGCAATAACATCAAAGTGGCCAATGTTAATATAACGAATAGTACAGGGCTTCCCTTGTATGTATCACTAAATGGTAATTACTTTTCCCTAACAAATGTGAATTTAAAAACTTGTCATCATGGCTTGCGGATAGAAGATAATGGAAACAACATAGCTCTCAGCAACATTAGAGTAAATGATTTTACCGAAAGCTCTGGGATACGTTTAAATAATAATGGAGCTAACATTAGTCTCAACAACATTATATGCAGCAATACAAACAATACAGGATTGGCACTGGACAATAACAAGGACACAATCACACTCAATAACATTATTGCAAAAAACAATACTTCTGGGGGCATCGGCATATACTCTAATGGTGACAATATTCAGCTCCACAATGTGACTGTTGCCAATAATAACAAAGGAGGGATTGAGATGACATACAATCGTTACCTCATTATTTTATCAAATACTAGTGTCATTAACAATACTGGCACAGGTATATATATTGAAGGAGAAACAAACGTGACTTTTGCTCATCAGCCCACCACACTGTACAATAACAGCTCACCAGGTAATGGAGGAGGTATGTGGATTGGTAGAGATATTGTTATTTCTAGCAACACGGTTGTCAATTTCTACAACAACACTGCAAGAGGTGCCGGGGGTGCTGTCTATGTAGATACCAGGGCAAGTAAACATGACTATAAAAATTGCACATTTTTCTACCTCCGTCCAACCTTTAAAAATAATTATGGAGCAATTGCTGGTGATGATATTTATGGTGGTAAATACGCCTACTGTATTGGAGGTAGGGCAGATACCACAACATTTTTTGATGGAATCTATTGCATCTATAATTTAATCAGATTTTTCCCCACTCCAGTCTCCTCTCATATCTCATCCAGTCCAATTGGTGTCTGCCAATGCTTAAATGACTCAGTCGTTGATTATAATAATAGATTTATTCATAAAGTATTGTATTCGGGGCAATCTATCACAATACCAATAGTAACTGTTGGTACATGTGGGGGGATAAGCCCTGGAGAAATAGTGACTAAAAATACAGATGGTATACAAGTTGTCCTCAGTAATACGAACCAAGAAACAGAGAAGCAGTGTAAAAACTTTACGTATCAATTTTTACAGCAATCCACAAACATCTTTAGCGGAAACGTCTCTCTACAACACAAACTAGTTCCTGATAAGGAGACAAAGTACTTGATGTATTCGGAATTGACCATTAGTCTAACATTCCTCCCTTGTCCTCTTGGGCTAGAATTAGCAACTGAAAGGTATCGCTGTGATAGTACTGTCAGCAGTATCAATGGTACAGAATGTGATGTTGAATGGATGCCTAATCCAATTAAGAGATACGGAAACAATTGGCTGCACTATGATGAAGACTATGAGTGCATAATAGCCCACAGAGCCTGTCCATTTGATTACTGTGACACTTCCACAGTATACCTTAGCCTCAATGAATCTCATAGTCAGTGCATGTTCAATAGATCAGGTATACTCTGTGGGGAGTGTCAACAAGGGCTCAGTCTCATGCTAGGCTCCAACAAATGTGCCTCTTGCAATAACAACTACATATCACTCTTTGTTGCTTTCCTTGTAGCTGGTATAGTCCTTGTGGTATTTCTCATGACAAGTAACCTCACTGTCTCTGTGGGTAGTATCAATGGGCTGCTCTTCTATGCCAACATTGTCAAGCTAAACCAGACTGTACTGTTCCCCAATGGTATCAGTATTCCTGTATTGAGCCAATTTATCGCTTGGCTTAATCTTGATCTTGGAATTCAGACCTGTTTCTTTAATGGCTTGGATGGTTACTGGAAAACGTGGCTTCAGTTTACATTCCCTCTCTACATATGGCTCTTGATTGGCTTCATCATAATTGGCTCTTACTACTCTGGTAAACTATCACGTCTCTGTGGTAACAATGCAGTGCCTGTTCTAGCTACACTCATTCTCATGTCTTATTCGAGGCTCTTACAAACAATCACTAATATTCTGATGTCAACCAAAATCAAATGTAGTACCTATCATTGGATTGTATGGAATGTAGATGGTAACATTGGCTATCTGAGTCCTAAGCACATTCCATTGTTTGTTGCAGCATTGATCTTCCTGTTACTTGGGATAATATACACAGTGCTGGTATTCTCAGGTCAGTGGTTACAGCGATACAGTGGTAAGTGTTGCAAGAGCTCTAGGGATCCTGTCGTTAAACTAAAGCCATTCATTGATGCCTATACTGGGCCATACAAGGACAACTATCGATTCTGGACTGGTCTCCTATTGATTGTACGTCTGGTACTAACACCAGTGTTCTCTTATACTACTGGTAGCTTAAGTATAATCCATAATTACATTATCGCTCTAACAGCATTCATTCTAATGATTTTCATGAGAGGCATCTACAGAAAATCCACTGTTAATGTTCTGGAATATTGCCATTTCTTAAATTTGGCTGTCCTGTGTCTATTCAGTGCAGTTGGTAAGGATTTAGGGTTCAGTGTATACTCCACTACTATCATTACTGGTGTTTCCGTAAGCTCAGCTATGCTTATGTTCATTATTACCATAATAGGTCACATTTACTGGAAGGTTTTTGGCTCAAAGAGACAGACTCACAGAAATGAAGGCTTTAACTTTTTGAGAGACCTTGCATTAGAAGAAAATAAAGATGTGACAGATGAAGGTTCTCCTGCTAGGCTTGTTATGAGGAGAGAATCTTTAATATTTGATTTTAATTTTAAAGAAATGTAGCTAGATAGTTTGCTATGGAACATTTGATTTAATACTAGATTTTTATGCTAAATAAATGTAGCTAGATTAGATTTTTTTACAATGCTGCTTTTCAAAAATTGTTTTGTTTTTTTAATGGTCATACTCAAAAAATTTTTCCCAGAAATAGCTCAAACTTTCTAGATAGCATAAAGACATCAATATGTATCAGTAAATGTGCTTAAAAGGTGGGTTAATTTTGGAGCCATTTTTGAGAATAAAACACAGGCTCAATGTTACATGATTGATGTGCATTGAAAATAAGAAATATGACACTGTTCACACTATGCACACATATCTGAATTCCTGGAATGAGGGTAGAATATAGTTAGCATAACAATATTCATAGTATTTCCAGGAATCAGTATAAGGGTATTTCTATTACTGTTACCCGTGTAGCTGTGAGATTTTGTGTAATGGCTACATACAACCCGCCTCTAAGTAGAGCTACTAAGATTTCCTCTTCAAGTGCTAGTTATCATGCTTGTGGTGACAATATTGCTGCTATTGACTTTGGAACCACATCAGTCTCTCTGGCCTATACTACTAAAGGAGATGATGAAGTAAACACTCTTGTCCTAGACAGTGATAGGAGGTCTATGAGAGTTCCAAATGCAATTTTGCTGAAAAGAGATGAAAGCAAGAATATCTCTGTCGTGGGATTTGGAAGTGACACAAGAACTCAATTTGCATCAATGAAAGCAGAGATTCTCTCTGAACACATCTACTTTGAACGGGTTAAGATGCACATGAGAAAGGAAAAAGTAAGTCAACCGATCATATGGTATGTTATAAAGTAAATTTTAACAGAAGGTGACTAGACAGACTCAAGTAAAAGCTTCTTCTGGTGAAAAGTTCTATCTTGTTGAAGTAATCGCATTTATTCTCCAGCATTTGAAGAACCAATTGATAGAGCATTTCATACGCAGTCCAATACCACTGAAGACAACTGATTTTGATTGGGTCATTACTGTACCTGCTATATGGGATGCATGTGGAAAGAGAATGATGAGAGAAGCTGCCTATATGGTAGGTGCACAGCATTGAATAACAACAAACTCTAGACACAATTTTTTCCTAATATAGGCAGGTCTACTGACAGAATCTGGTGGCATTAATCAATTCACTCCAATTTCTGACATCCCTCTTCTTATCCCTGATGAAACGAATTCAAATAGGCTCTTATTGGCACTGGAGCCTGAATCAGCAGCTTTCTTTTGCCAAGAAACAATTGCAAAGCAAAAGCAACATTCCGATATAGCTATAGAGCTACCAACAGAATACATGGTAATCGATATAGGAGGAGGAACAGTTGATATCACTGCTCACATGACAGTAAATGGTGAAGTTACAGTTCTGAATATACCTACAGGCAATGAATCAGGTGGCACAAAAGTTAACAAAGCTTTCTCCAAATTGATGGAAAAGCTACTCAATGACCAGGGCTTTAAAAAATTTTGCAGTTCCAGGGACCATTCACAGCAAATAGCTAATTTAAACAAGATTTTTTACAGTGAGTTCGAAAACCAAAAAATAGCATTTGGGCAAGGCAACCTTGAGGATATTGCAATAGGCTTACCAAGAAGATTTTCCTCATTTTTTGAGGAATTTCTAAAATCAGAGGTGGATAAAGTTGATGGGATTGAATATGATGAAGATGCAAATGACACATTGTATGTAGATAAAAAAGTAGTTGAGAAGGAGCTATTTGGTCCAGCCATTGATGGCATCATTGATTGTACATTAGCAGCTATTAAAGAGAATGAGTTCAAAGTAAGCACATTTTACTTGGTTGGTGGATTCGGAGGTTGCAGATATGTTCATCAAAAATTAATGGCTGCCATAAACAAACTGTACACGTCTGAAGGACGTACATGCAATGTATTAGTGCCGCCTACTCCTCAATTAGCTGTTGCTACAGGAGCTGTAATGTGGCGTCGAAATCCAGGGAAAATAAAAGCAAGACGATCTGATGCAACATATGGTATAGCTACAACGCTGCCTTTTGATCCAGAGAAGCACGATGAGCATTACAAGTTTTTCGACAAAGATCGAAATGAGTATCGATGTAATAATGTCCTTGATGTGTTTCTGGAGAAAGGTGAACTGATAGATGTTAATCAAAATCTTACCATAGATTTATCTCCATCAAGTGCATCAGATACTACAGTTTCTATTGAAATCTACTCAACTCCTTGTCTTGGCGTTCAATATATCAAGGACAGAGATGGGAAGAAAATGGCTGTTAAAATTGGTAAACTAGTCATTGATGCACCCAACCCTGATAATCTACCAGTCGAAGAGCGTATAATTGATGTCACAATGGATTTTAGTGGTACTGAAATTCAGGCCAAAGCAAAGTATCGAATCAACGGAAAAGAAGTTAAAACAGTCTGTGACTTCCTTTCTACTTATTAACTAGAAGTACATGTAATAGACGTTTCTAATATTAGATAGTTAACTGGTTTGCATAAATTGTAATTCTTGCTAAAATTGTAGTCCAAATAAAACTTCTTATCACAAAGGATATTCACGATTTCTAAGAATTGCTTATAGAATGTGTAGGCTTGGATTTACACAGCTGGCACAAGCACTTCTATGAATTTAGCTCCCTATGCAAACACGTTCCAGCTCAATTCCTGTTGCTTTTATTAGTTGTGCATGAGTGCATCATTCTTACTCAACAGAGCAAATTGAATTCCCCTTAAGTATGATAGCTACTGATAAATAGTACAATAATATAAACTATAAACATGTATTATTGATGATTATAGTAGACCATAATTTAAATGCTTTGTTGGAATTGGCTGAACATGTATTATTGATAGACTATAATTTAAGTGCTTCGTTGGAATTGGCTGAAAGCTACAAGGTCATAATCATTTCATAAAAAGACCCTTTATACTCTTATTTGTGATGTTTTGTCATACAGACATGGTCAAAACAATATGATAGCAAACAAACATGGCTGATAGTGTTCTTTCAACTATTGTAGTAAACAATAGCATTCAGTGTAGACACAACACAATAAATTTGATTATAAATCTAATTCAGAACAAAACTCTAAAGCATGGCAGTTTATGACCTAGTCACATATTATGATGACTGTATAACAGTGACCAGATACAGCCATTAAAGGTTCAAGATCTGATGGTGTTTGAGCTGTACAGTCATTTTAAAAACGTTGAAATTGATAATAAAAAATCCTCATCATAAAATAAACAAAACAGAAGATATAACTCCTGCTCCATTAAAGCATTATGGGTGGATAAGAAACAGAAGCATCACTGGCTGGAAAACCCTATGTGTTAAATTTATGCCACACCAGTAGTAATTAATAAGTAATGTGCTTATATCACTTTTGCTATAATGCCATGCACAATACAATAAAGTAGTACACATTAGTACTTTTAGTAGCACCATAAAAATCAACAAAATATGTTTTAACATGAGAAAAGGATTCATATCATCTCTGAAGCAAGTATAATAGGACTCTGATGACAAAGCAGTCAATCAGAAAAAAGAAATATCCAAAATTTCCACTTATAAGTCAAGATCTTATATTTTAAATTTCTTGTCATAACCAATAAATTTACAAACAGCATTAAAATATTTAATCAACAATGACTATTGGCTGTCTTATAATAAACAAAAGAGTAATTGTCTCACATACCTGGAATGCGACAGCATTATGTGATAGCAAACAGCATATTGTAAGGAAAACAGTCACGTCTCACCATAGTATATTTAAATGCACACATTTTGCTATTATGGTAGAGACAGTGCAAAAATACATTCAAGAATGGCAGCTACTAGCTTGCTTTTGAGCCTTCTACTTCTTTTGTGGTATTCAAGTGCTGAACAGCAAAATGAACCTGATTTTGAGGGAGATGATGATAACACAACAATGAAAGGTCAGTAAGAAAATCTTGTAACTTATCATTTTCTCTATAGTTCCAGTTATGTTACAGAATCCCTTTCTCTATTATTTGGACTACAAGACAGTGTATGTGAACTGTTCTGTTTATGGAGAGTCTCCATTTGAAGTCTCATGGTTGTATAGTACTGATGAGATATCTAATAGATCCAGTGACTACACTATCATCAGTGGTAGTAAAGTGTCTAATATTGTGTACAGTCCTAACTCTGATGATGAAGGATATGTGTGGTGGAACAGTTCTCTTCTTTTGAATCCTATTAATAACTCAACAGCTGGATATTACTACTGCAGAGTCAATGCCTCATTTGGTCCAATCTATTCAAAACCAGTCTATGTCAGGAAGAATTGTGAGTCATTATTCAAACTATATATTAATAATTTTTTTGTAATAATTTTTATGCATAGATCTACCAAGGCTAAACTTCACAAAGTTTATTAAAAGTGGTTACAGTGTGATTGGAACATGGAGAGTAAAAAGTTTTCCATTGCCAAAAATTCTTATTTCATTTCAGTACTTGAGTAGTGGGTCTCGAAGCCGAAAAAGAGTATACAATGACTTCATGACTGCCTATGTGTCAAACAACTTATACAGAACAAGTCACTATACTACTTATGTTAATAAAACAAGTGATGATAGCCTGACCGTACGTTGGAGGTATTCTTTCAATCGATTGTTTTCAATGCGACTAATAGCAATCAGTTATGATTACCCATCACAAAAGGCACACTATCACCAGCTATACATTAATTCTGGTATGAACTTATTTTATCTACTAAAATAAACTTATATCTTTTATTTTAAAGGACAACCATATGTAAATTTTCTTGCTCGATCCTCGAGGCAACGAACATTCACCTTTACATGTCTTTGTGCAGAGTGTGATGGTATTGAATGGAGAAGGAACAATGTACGACTACCAAAGAGTAGCTATGGGGTTGTTGCACTCAAGAAAGAGCTTAGGCCTTATCACTCAATTAATCTGAAACACAGCACACTGTCAACTTCTTATTTTGATGCACATCACTATAGCTGCCATACACTTAACTCTCAGAATAATATATTTGAAAACTCTCGAGCATATATTGATGTCCCATGTAAGTATATAACTACCTTTTCTAATGTATTGGGAACTGTAAAATTAATTGCAACTTTTAGTATAGGCCTGTTTTAAATTTCTATTTCACTGCATTTAAAATTCTCTCACTTTATAGCCTATATATGCAAACTAAAAATAATCTTTAGGTTCTAGTTGTAATTTATTATATGACTGTAGATGCTACAATCATCAAGAGACTAAAAGGATCAACATACGTCCCTGGAGAAACACTCACTCAGAAATGCTCTGCTCGTAGTCTTTACCCAATGACTGTCACATGGCAAGAATCAAAATTTCTATTTGCAAGAAAAGATAAAATAGATTCACGTAGTACTACAGGCCGTTATAATATACTGAACAGTAAAATCAGTGTCAGAATCTCCTTGCTAACGCCACATACATTTAATATGTGGTGTGAATTCTATACAACCATTTATTATCAACCGGACAACTTTACAAAAGTACATGGTCTGTACCAAAAGGGACTATTATTTGAAAAACCAAATAAATCTGGAGTTTCTGGCACTACAGGATATAGCACAATGAGAGTACATTGTAAGTCTATTTTAATTGTGTTTCAAATTTTAATTCTATTCTATATACAGATCCATCATCTATCACCTCTAATGTCACTAATATCACAATAAATGAAACTGAAAGGATGTACCTGTGGTGTTTTGCTAGAGGTGTTCCTCAACCAACTA